TACAGGAAATTCATCAAAGGATTGTCTGCTATCGCTAAGCCGCTCACTGAGCTGACCAAAAAGGATATACCTTTTCAATGGGGGGCTGAACAGAACAGGGCTATGAATGAGCTGAAAGAAGCGTTATGTACTGCACCAGTGTTGCTTTTGCCAGATTTGGCAAAACCATTTGTAGTACATACAGACGCATCCAGTTTTGCTCTAGGAGGCGTATTGCAGCAAGATGATGGTCATGGTTTGCAGCCAGTAGCATATGAAAGCCGAAAGCTGAATAGTGCTGAAAGGCGATATTCAGCATATGAACGTGAATTACTCGCTGTATTACACTCATGTACTACATGGCGGCATTATCTTTTCGGCCGTCACTTCAAGCTGAAAACAGATCACCACTCCTTGAGATACATGTTTTCTCAAGAAAAGTTCACAGGACGAATTTTTAAGTGGATGGAACAGCTGCAGCAATACGACTTTGAAGTCGAGCATATCCCAGGATGGAAAAATTTGGTTGCAGATGCACTGAGTAGGAGAGACGAAGAAGCTTCTGAGAAACCAACTAGGCGACCGGGTGCCAAGCAGCAATGCAGTGGTGTGACGCATCTACGAGGAGCTGATGGCTTGAGAAACCAAATTCTGCATGGTTACTCAAGAGATGACCTGTATAAGGTGATGAAAACTCTGCTGAAACCCAGCGGAGACAAGACAATTGTGGCCAAGTTCAAGAGACAATTCAAGCTTGAAGGAAATTTAATGTACACCAAACGGGAAGGTGACGACCAGTCCGATTGGGTAGTGTACATTCCCAATAGCAAGACGGTAAAACAGAAGATTTTGGAAGAACTTCATGACAGTGAATCAGCAGGACATCTTGGCTATCAAAAGACTGTGCAAGCAGTCAACCGCGGATTTTGGTGGCATGGAATTACTGAAGATATAAAGGACTATGTATTCAGCTGTCAGAAGTGTCAGGAAATGAAGTCATTAAGACAAGCACCGTCAGGATTACTACAGCCATTACCAATACCGAGAGGTAAATGGCGAGATATCAGTATGGATTTCATCACAGAATTGCCGAAATCATCAAGCGGCAATGATGCGATTATGACAGTGGTCGACAGGGCGACTAAAATGACTCATTTTATCGCCACAAAAACTGATGTTTCAGCCCCAGAAGTGGCTGAATTATTCAAAGACCATGTCTGGAAAATGCATGGCATACCAAGGAGTATCGTATCCGATCGAGACTCTCGATTTGTGAGCATTTTCTGGCGTGGTTTGATGAAACTTGTTGGCACCAAACTACGGTTCTCTACAGCATATCATCCTCAAACTGATGGTCAATCAGAAAAGATGAATGATGTAGTAGAACAGATTTTGCGGACATATACTATCTTCAAATCAGAAGATTGGGATAGACGGTTAGCAGCAGCTGAATATGCTATAAATAATTCTGTCAATATATCGACAGGATATTCACCGTTTTATCTCAATTATGGCTACAACCCAGATTCCGTTTTGGACATCATTACCGGAGCCAAAGAGGAAAGAATTCAGTCTGTAAAAGATTGGGTGAAGCAGCTGGAAGATGATTTTGAGGATGCAATGCGAAGTCTAGAAGAAGCGCAACAGCGACAAAAAGAATATGCGGATCAGCATCGAAGACAAGAAGAATTCAATGAAGGCGACAAAGTGATGTTGTTGACAGGAAAAGGAAAAAGGGCATTTCTTACAGGGCCAGGAATACAACCAGATCCAAAGTTCCGAAAAAAGTTTGTTGGACCTTTTACAATACAAAGGAAGATCTCAAAAACAGCCTATGTATTGAAATTGCCTAATACTTGGTCCGCACATCCAGTATTCCACGTGTCACGACTCAAGGCTTGGCATAGTGGATCTCGAGTGCGTACAACACAGCCTGCGACGCATCAAAGAGCAGTTAGGCCAAGTGAAGACATCTATGAAGTACAGAGGATTCTGGACACCAGAATATTCCATGGAAAGCGGCAGTACTTAGTCCATTGGAAAGGCTATCAGTACTATGATGCTACATGGGAACCGGAGGATTATCTTCGAGGAAGCCAAACTTTAATCAATGAATTTTTGCAACGACATGGAAGAAGACATAATGATGTATCAACAAGAGGAGGTGCAACATCTACACGAGCCTATCAAAATTCATCATCCAAGGGAAGACAAGGACTACGACCAAGAAAAGGAGGAGCTTTTAGATACATATAGCATAACTAGCCCCATCGACAGGGACGTCGATTTTCGAAGGGGGGGATAGTTGTAAAATTAGATGATGCTAGAATAGTTAAATGAACAGAAAATTGACTTAATTTAGAACTTAATAGAAAAAGAATCAACTCGAACGGACAAATATTGAGGAAGATATGGCTGATTTTGTATAATAAGATACATTAGACTTGATTTGAGAAACGGGAATGAAATTGGGTTTGATTATAGGACGGGAATAGACTTGTTGTACTGCCACACTGATGTAATCTATCATAAGGACGCACCATGTCTCATGGAAAGGTCTAGAACATACTCAAGAGAATGAAAAGACCCGACATCCCCTTGAGAAGGAAGGCATAACGAAGTTATGCCATTTACTAGAAGATTCTAGACAAAAGACTAATATAAGTATGTGAACTACTATACAGAATAGTCGCCAGGTCTCTAGAATATATTTGAGACAGCTCTATGATAAATTACTAAGGTATTACTAGTAGTATCAAGATATTTCCGGAACAAAGTCCTCGAGACTATATAAAGGGCTGAGTCTTTCGACTTAGCACTTGCATCTACCGTTTCCAAGTCTTGTGAGCCTAAAGCATTGTAAGAGCATTCTTTCTACAAACGGATTCTACAACTCTAAGGTGGGCACGCTCAAGTCCACGCGACTTCGAGCCGAGTCAACACGAGATGGGATGTTAAATTGATTAAGTGGAGCTCGATCGAGCTTCACAGGTCCGAATGGTTGGACTGCGCTTGCTGGGCACAGCGCTCGTGGCGGTATGCTCGGGGACAGGCGAGCTCGCGGGCTCCACTAGCCAGGTCGGCCAAGGTTGCTGGGCCGAGTCGTGGGAGCAGCTTGTTTGCGCGAGAAAGGATCATTACTATGCCGTACTCACCACATAAGTACGGTGACCAACTCGCGGGTCACCGGTGTGGAAACAATCCGTGTCATGGCACCCACACTGGTGCCTTAGTATATTGTCATTGTACCCATACACTTCATATTCCGACAATAAATGTCTTGACCGTTTATAATCTAATAGTGACCCCATACAATATCACATTTGCTTATGATATGAAATTTAGATGATTGATCATTATTCTAAATAATTTTAATGAGTTAGATAACTAAATAATTATCATTTAGTATTGCATATTACAATTCATCAAAATAATGCAAGCAACCTAATGATCATATTTTCGTTACCAAGTTGTATAATCCAAATCATCTAACTCATCAAAACTTCTTTTTAAAACATGTTAAACATCAATTGACTCTTTGTGGTATTGTGCACATTTTAAGTTTTGTTTCAACAGGGAGCCCATCATTGTACGCATCATATTCTTGGTGAATGAGTAGAGTGTATGCATTGTTGGCAACCCAAACACTAGCCTTAATGGGCAGCTGCACATGGAGGCTACTTTAAGAGATGCCCTAAACATGTATAAAAATCCTACTCTCAAGAATGACAAAGACGCTGGAAAATAACGGCTTACTGCATTATGATTTTGCCCACCCTATTTTGCCGTCTTCCATATGTTGCACCTGTAATTTTCACTGTGAATTGCATATTGTGCATATTCATTCTAATATTTACTTTTGGTTGCCTAATAAACAACCAAACCAATGATAGAACCCATGTACCTGGCACCCAAGCACTTGGGCAGGCTACTGGAACTTCTTGCTCCCGCCTGCTTGGGCACCTACAACTCCCTATACCTTAATGAATAGGTGCCGTCATGGGGAGGCTACAAACATGCACAAGTGTGGATCACTATATACATGGATCACCATCCATCCAAAAATGGTAATCCACCACCGACTGCTTGCGCGGCCACCATCAAGGAACTCAGCTCTCTCTCGCACCTCCCTTAACTGCCACGCCTCTTACCCTGTCATCTCATTGTTGGGTGGAAGGTTACTCAAAAGGATGGACTACCCTCTTCCCACCTCTAGTCGAGGTGGTTTGGTCAGGTAGTGGGACATCCCACCCAGTGATACTGGGCTCGACCCCCCAGTCAGACATCCTCTTCAGCGTCCACACAAAAACACTCATTCGGACGCTGTGCTGTTCCCTGAAGACTTGGAGCATCCCAAACTCGCACTTGTTATGCCGGTGCCCTTGATGAGGCAGCACAGCGGCCGGCTCCTTCGCAGATGCCCGGCGGGGGTTCGCGTGGGTGAAACAGGCCCTCGTGGCCTATGACCGTCGCGGTCCGTCAACCGTCAGTCATTACAAAAGGTGTCCAGCCCTTTATATGCCCGTTCCAAATCCCGACAGTTTGTCCGAGCGTACAGGTTGCTTGACAGCGTGTTTACTCGTATGTCTTGACTGACACTTCACCCACATCATACTGGCAGCCCCCGCTGGGATGAAACCCCGAGAAGTCACCCTGAACTCACTAACCTGTCTCCCCTCTACGTTCTGTCCCCTTGCGCCCACAGCTATACCTCTAGGCCGGCCTACCTGGACCCGTCCGCCCGCCGACGTTCCTGAGGTTCCTACCCACTAACTCCCTCACGCCCACGTTCTCCCACACAGCTACCCGTTCCATACCTACGTCCCCGATCTGCCTCTCACCACACCCACGTGCTTACCCTGACCAGTCAACCATTCCGCTGAACACACTCTCGATCAGAAACTCGTTAACGAATCATCAATCGCATTTACGGGGACTGCTGGGATGCAGCGACAGGGCCCCGTCCCCAACAAAACAGATCGTTCTTGGCAGCTGTGGTGTCAAGGTTGGCACCAGCCCTCATGTCGGCACAGGACTGCGGCGTGACGCAGCCGTTGTTTGAAGACGCCCTGAACCGCGAGCACATACGCAAGCTGAGGGAAAAGAGGAACGAGCGGAAGGTCGCCCAGGCCAAACCGCTGTGCCGTGCGCTGAGGTAATTCCAGCGCGGATCTTCCCGAATTGGCTTGGCGCCCTCGCCAATGGGCCTGCCTCGATGTCGCCTTGTTCTGTTGCGCGTGGCTCGTGCTGATGGGAGCGTCAGTTGCGTTTGTGCGCCTTTGCTCGCTCCTTGCAAAGGGTTGGGGTTCCCCAGTGGATTTGACGCTAGAAACGCGCGCTTTCCACGGCTGGGCATTCATGGGAACAACCTTGGCGGCAGCGAGGGTGGGTACTAGCTGGCACATGGGCAGAACACCGGCGAAACAAACTGTTCCCATTGTGCTGCCAGCCAGCGGTATAGGTGAGGATGGGACAGTCTTGTTTCCTTGGGGTGCCACATCTGCAGAGAAACACTGTTTAGAGCTGCGCGTGAGGTTCTCTGTTTCACAGCCTACAAGCACCGTGACCTTTGTTTGTGATGCGTAATATAGCGAGCCTTGATTGGGTGTGACGTGGATAAGGGTATATTGCACTGGTGGCCGAGGCCTTGCAGCTGGAACAGGATTTCTGATATCCAACCCTCTGTGGGTGGACGCACTGGCTGTGTGACTGGAGACACAAGGATGACTGCAGGATGCGCACAAGATTATAAAATGTGTAGATGTTGAATCCACACGTGTGTTTAAAGCGATAGCAATCCATGAAATATATTTCGCCAGCCAAAGAGGGGGTGGATTCCTTGGGCTGGCCTTTGTGGGCAACTTATGTGGTGGATGCATCAATTGAGATGATGTGTGCCTGCAGCACAATGGTCGTTTAATGGTTGTGACTGTGCTGCCAGGTGGTTGTCTTTGAAGCACAGCCAGTTTGCTGTGCACTTCGCTGTTTTCGAGTTGAACCTGTTCGAGAGGGCAATTTTCTACCTGGTGGTTGCATTGTTGGGCTGCCTGGTTATCTACGGTGCAGCTCGCCAAATTGCTGCTGCAGCTAAAATTGTGGAGTGGGCAGGCAACACACTTACCACCTGGTATGGGCCTACCTTTTGATTTCCACATCAGTGCCTGCACTACATCACGGTTCACATGGCTGTGAAAGTGCAGGGTAACAGTGTCTCTTCCCACACTCTGCTGAGCCCTGCTGAGCACTGGGCTGCTGTACTCATTTGTGTTGCAGTGCGCGGCGTGCAATAGCCATTTGCAGAAAATGAATGCTTGTGACTGGCAATTTATTCTGTGCCCTGAATTGCTGTCATCCATCTGCCAGCATTACTCATCATCTGCCTCCATTATGTGCTGTGCAACAGGATTTCGCCTCCAACAAACAATTCCACATTACAAAGTGAACTGTGACGTGTTCTGCGGGAAAATGAGCTACTTGCTGCCACACGTCCATTCAGGTATGTGTGTCCACCATGCCGGTCAAGTCAAGATGCTCAAATCCTTTTATCACATTTGTCACATAAACATGACAAAACACTGCCCTTGTGCCTTAAAGGCGATGTTGGGCATGAATTCCAGACCAGTGTGTCTGATCTTATTGCATGGTTTGTTCATTGTCACAATGCTATTCTGATACATTTTCTCACGTTGGTCAAGTCAGGATTGTGTTCTCGATTTGATGTGACATTGTTGGCCACTGCTTACCAGGCACCCTTGCTCGTTTTATGAACTGGTTGCCCTGGACTGCTCTGCTATCCTCACAGTGCAAGGATAATGGCCTGCATGCACATCGTAGCAGCGACTTTCAGGCAAAAGATGCTCTGTCAGTGTGGTGCATCTCCACAAGGTTCCAGAACCAGACAAGAGTTTGTGATCGTCATGTCATGTGACATCTTCCCGCCAACATGAAAAAGGTTCCCAAAATAGTTCGTTCAGCAGTTTTGTCTGCTGTTCCAGGATGGGCTGTGGACCAGGCCATTCTTGGTGAGGAAGATAGGGTGGTGGTCATTCGCTTTGGCCATGATTGGGACCCGACCTGCATGCAAATGGACGAAATCTTGGCTGGGGTTGCTGACCAGGTCAAGAACTTCGCGGTCATCTATCTCGTCGACATAACTGAGGTGCCCGATTTTAGTACGATGTACGAGCTGTACGACCCCTGCACAGTGATGTTCTTCTTCCGCAACAAGCACATCATGATTGATCTGGGGACAGGTAACAACAACAAGATCAACTGGGCGATGAACGACAAGCAGGAGTTCATCGACATCGTTGAGACTGTGTACCGTGGTGCACGAAAGGGCCGTGGTTTGGTAGTTTCCCCCAAAGACTATTCCACCAAGTATCGTTACTAGCTCAGGTCTACACAGTTCGCTGCCTCCTCGGCGTTGGTCTGCACAGTTCATTGTCGTTTGCCGATGGTTTGGTGTGGTCTGTAGTTAGTGGCATGAGGATGGATAAGCTTGTGTCCTGGATCGCGTCATATCAGAGTGGAGGTCATCACTAGATGATACCGTAGCTGTGGTTCGAAGCAGAATAGAAGTGCGCTGCGGATGACAGTGCCTGGCTGCCCTTGTATGCTGTGTTGTGAGTTTTGATTCACCTTGGCCGGGGTGCCCGACCTGTTCATTGTGACCAGCTGCTGCTGGTGCAGCTGCTCATGTCCCCAGACCATTCTTGAGAGGTATTGACGTTGCTGGGAGGTCAGGAGATGACCTGCGTTTTGAATTGCTGGTGGCCAATCCTTTCAAGACATTTGCTGGGAACATCTCCACAGACTTGTAGAGCAGATAGCGACATGACGCGGGTTGGCACCCTGTTCCCCACGTGTTGAGATGTTGGTGAAGATTGAAAGCCTAATTGTCAGGTACGATGTAAGTGGCCATCAGAGCCATGATGAGGTACAACCTGTGTTTTGTTATTGGTCGAAATGTGTTATTGCCGCATTGATCCCTGCATACAAATAACACCATCGTTTCACGCATTACTGCAGGGTGTTCAACCTTTCCACATGAAAGGATTTTACGTTACGCTTTTTGCTCCGCGTTTGTTTTCAGAGCATTATTTTGTTATTTTTGCCGTGGCTCCGCATGAGTTTTATTAAAAGGGCATTATTTATTTTATTGTTTTCTCCGCAAGAAGAGGCCAAGCGTTACTTTACTATGCGGAAAGGGTTAATAATCTACAATGTGTTTCTGTATCAGAACTGTGACCATGGGCCTCATTTTCTGGGGCTCAACTCAGTCATCGCTTTGGTGGTGAATCGGCAAACAACTCGTAAACAGAAATCGCAAACAGAAATGGTTTGCTGGTTGTGCATTGCTGTACTTTTCCTTAGGAGCTCTTGCATCAAACGAAGTGGGGGTAATGGGATTAACTCTCTTGTTAATGGATTTCCGCCAAGGGCGACGTGGGGCGGGTGCGCTGGCTCCGGCTGGACCAGTGCTGCTTAAGTATGGTAGTTTTGGCGGCCCCCGGGGTCTCTGTTCCCATGCACCCTGGGTCAGTGGCCAGTTCGTCGTATTCAAGGAGGGCCAGAGGTTTCTGGCGCCCTTGGGAGTGACGGGCTTTGGTGGGCACGAGTTGGGGAGGCTATTTAGGCTCACCCCTTGATCCCCACTCCATCTTGTTTCGCTTCGCACCAAACCTTTGGCACAACCCGGACCCACGGAGTGGGTCGTGACCTGTGGCTCCTCGCCGAATTTCTTGCCTATGAACCTGGACCCTGCGGAGCAGTCGTGCCGGGACCAAGCTCGCCGGTTGTCACACAAACATTGTCTGTAGAAACCACTCTTTCTCTTCAACATGCGTTCACCTCTGAGTGAGTCAAGCTGGGCATGTTCTCGAGTACTACTTGAATAGTCGGCTGAAAACCACAACGCAGACTTGAATAGCCCCATAGGCTACCACAACCATCGGACATCCACCTCCCTGAGGGGGACGAAATGTTACACACAGGCCTAGAGTGGGGGACACTCTATCTAGGACCTATTGCTAAAACTGGAGTAGGGGATGCCTTACCCAGCTCTTTCGTAACAACTCCCCTAACCCAATATATGGTATAGGTAGTAGTTAGGTGTGGAGCCGCCTAGTGGCCCATATGCCACTAGACCCGGCGAGGCGGGTCTGGAGATTTAAGAGCGGAGGCGCCCCAAGCCAATAGATCCTATCAATAATGTTTTGGAGAGTTGTGAGTCATGGTTGTCTGAGTTGGAAGAGAGTGCGGCAACAATGTTTGGGAAAGATGTTGATATGCTTGATTGCCTGATCTGCCTGATTTAGATGGTGTCAAGAAGTTTGGTGTGAAGATTGAACCTTGAACTGGTCATGACTTTTTGAGATTAATAGGGTTGATGTGGATCACTTGTTTCCGGATTGGACAAATACACTTTGATTATAAAGCGGCGGCCAAATCTGTTTGGTATGCTCCCCAAGCTATGTTGCATGCATTGCTTATCGTAACAACTAGAAAAAGAGTTGGAAAAAAGGCCACAGTCAAACCCAACGCTTGTGTGCGCTTGTGCAGCGTCGCCTGACCAACGACTTTGGTCGGACGGGAACTTGTGGTTGGTCCAACGAATCAGGTCAAACCCAATTTGGGGACAAAAGAATATGGCTACATTCAGCCGAACTCGGTTCCTGCGAGCGGTTTCGGGTTTGAAGTCTAACGCTGGTTTGTCAAACATAGTCTCTTGTGTCATTGCAAGTTCCAGCGAACCATCAATCCAAGTCGGGATTCCAATGGCGCATTCGCTTTCATAATCCCCCCAAATGCATATTTTTCTTGCCTATGACTTGCTTGTGTTGTGCGCTCATCTTTGCTTCGGAGGCTCTATATCATCTTTTCATAGCATTAAAAAGAGCCTCACATACACTTGCCTAGGCAGGGGTGCACTTTGTCTGGCCTATTCCTCTTTCTCTTTTGTAACAAATCCTTTCCCCCCCCCCCCTCTCCTTCTTAGTATCAATCCTTATGTTGAAGCCAGGATGACTATGCACCATTATATAATGGTATGGTGCCAACTTATTAGTAATAAGTTATTACTTCCTCCGTCCCGTATTAAATGTCCTCTATTTGAAGTACGAAATTCATTACAAGGAAGGCTTCAAAGGTATAAAACAAGGTCAGAATCAGAAAGATTGGGTCCCAAAAACCCCAACTACCAATTTTGAGGGAAAAAAATCAGTCCCACTCCTTGAAGGGCACCCTCGAAATTGCCCTTGGATTTGGGAAAAAAATGGGTGCGCCGATTCCGGTTCCGCTGGATATCCGCACGATTCTGGGTCACTCCCGTCCCGGACGACCACGGAGATGGCTTCGCCACTACCGTGGTGAAGGGCGACACCCCTTGTATGGAATAGCGCTGGTCCAACATGGCCGACGGTGTTTGGATCGTCATTGCCGGAGGCCATCGTCGCAATGTTGACGATGCCAGAATTCGCTGCGACCCTAGATCCGAGATGCAAGGACTTGCCACCAACTAAATAAACCAAAATCCAGGGCGCTCAAGCCTAGGACCTATGCGCTCTACCACTTCAAGGTATTTGTGTGGCTCTGCGTAGGCATCTTGCCTCAACTGATCCTTGAATCGAGGCCTTCCCAAGCAGCTTGGCCCACGATCTATGAGGTGCCACCAACAACCACCTCTTTTGTGCGGTCCGCAATCCATCACCACCTAGCTAGTTTCCGTTTATGAAAGAGACACAGCGTTAGCCATCTAGCCATTTGCCTCGTGCCTAGCTGTTTCAAATTCCACAGCAAACCCAATTTTGCCAATCTCGCGCTGACAGCAATTCCCATAATCGGCCGCCACTGAATGCGGTGTTGGGCTTCACCTTCATTGTCGCCTTGTCAAGGGGTTTTTGAGTCACCCTCTGTTGTTTTGATGGTACCAATAGAGGACGAAAAGTCTTGGCCCCAAAAATTTGGGGCCGGAAGTTAGCTCCGGTCCACCAGCCCAGCACTGAATTTCGGCTCTAAGCTATGGCGAGCTACACGATCAGGGCCTTCGGAATGCGATTCCTATTGCCGCACTTCCTCACAAGCACCACGCCGACCTTTTGTCTCAGTGGCGTGCATAGTTTTGCACAGGCGGCTCTATTTCGCCGCCGCAAACGTGTGCTCTTCAAAACAGCGAAAACGGCCGTGTTTGTGAAATCGTTGAAAAATCGATGGGATTCTGGCAAGAGAACCCTTGCTACAAAGTATTGCCAAATCATCAATACTTGACAGATTGACTTCAAATTTTGACCGTATGCTCCTAAATGGTAGGTACAACTTTGGACAAAATTTCATTGAAAGAACTACAATACATGATGGAGAAATGATGCGCCAAATTCACAGAGGACATTTAATATGGGACAGAGGAAGTATGTTCTGAAGAAAGAAAAACAGCCAAAACTGCAGCAATTTTAGTGGGCTGAAAACTGAGATGCAAAATACCATAGCAGATAATAGTGGGGGAATTTCGAAGGCCGCCAATCAAGTTTTTGTGGGGCTTCTTGTGAAGACTAAACGCCAAAGGGAAGTTTTGAGACACTCATTTATTTGTTCTTGTGGATTGCATAGGGGTGATCGATTTGCACGAGAAGTGGCTAAATTTGGAAGGGATTGATACATCGAATCTGTGCAATCTGGTTTGGAAACATTGTGGGCGATTGGGAGCTTTTCTGAGCTCAGTGAGCAAACGCATTCAAGCAAAGGAGGTGACCGAGGAATAGTCCATCACCTGATTTCTGGCTTGCAAACATTTTCTCTTGTTTTCGTGGGAGAGTTTCCAGGGGTTCGGTGGCAGCTGTGGCCGCCATTAGAAGCGTGTTTTCAATTACATGGTTGGGCCTGGACGTGCCCCTCGCACACTGGTTGGTATGCTACATTGATCGATGTCGTGACATCATGTCGATGCATCCATGTAAGGAAGAAACAGACAAACAAACAAACAAACAAACTCATTTGTTTGTTGCCACTTTTCAGCAGCTTTCTGGGTAGCTTCCAAACTTATGTCGATTTTGTTGCAATTACATAATCTCTTAGCGTCACATGTTTGCCCCCCACCCCACCCCACCCCACCCCATCAACCCTTTCAATTTGACACTACGCATAGTAATTTTGACATGGTGTCCTCCCCTTCATAATCTCTCAGCGTCACAGGTCTGCCCACCCCACCCCCTTCACCCCCCCTTGCGTCAAATTGACGCTAAGCATAAGAAAATCGACATAGTCTCTTCCCTTACTCGTCTGAGGGCCACATTGTACCCATTGCCACAGGTTCGAACACGAAGCAACGGTGTGAATAGCCTTCGTAGTGAAGCAAAGGCCTGCCTGAAGACGTCGTGCAATCTACAACTGTGTGCGTGCTTGATGCCACTTGACAGCACAATGGCCCAACGCTGTTCGGCTGCCACAGCAAGATGGCAGCGAACGGCGGCTCGCTGGCAGATGCATCCAGAAGCTACCAACTGACTGTCCTTAAAAAAGGCCTATGAAGCTGGACACCCTCACCGAAATAAGGCCACCTCAGCCTCACATGCCCAGTTGCCAACCTACCTCAAACATGAGCCTTTGGCTTGGGAGCCACAGGCCTGGTAAAACCCTATGAAGTAATGTCAATACCGATACATTGCCAATATCGATATTCCATGAGACCAGTCTGACCCAAACTCAACTGCTCAATTTCATCACACAAACCATACAATTCCCCGTGCAAATGAAAGGATGAAAGAAATCAGTGTTCTTCAGTCGACTCGTTTTTCTCACCAAGCGCCACACGCACTGCTTCCTCGCTGGCACAGCCATTTATTGGCAAAGACAAAGTGTGTGCATTCACGCTGCGTCCTACCAGAATTATTCACCACTGCCATCCAAACACCCCATCAGGCCTGAGAGCAAAAAGCTCAGATGCAACACCTCCCCCAACCTGATGAGTAGCCATGGACACAGCAACGCACTCCGACTTTGCATCTATACACCTGGCACATAAGCGTACCAATAATTCCGACATCCAATCGTGCCAACAGTACTGCTCGGAGTCACATTGGCTGTTTCAGTTTGTCGTTTTGGACTGTTGATGAAAGCGCACAACCTATTTGCAAGCCCATTGCACCACGTCCATTCTGCAAAAAACGAAACAGGCATTCTCCTTATTCAACAGGCCCTACTGCCATGCTCTCCAGCCATTTCAGCCTCTCGTACATGGCACTGTCAATGGGAAGATTCATATGCTTCCTGATGTACCCTACCAACCTTGCGAAGTGGTACCGCAATCTCCAAGCACCCTTCTGCACGTCAGCCAGAAACCTTGCCAAGGGGCTTGCCGGAGGGCTGCCCATTTCCTCACCTGATGCCTTGGCGCCCTAAACCAAGCATGCCAAACAAAAAGCTCAAGTCAAATGCACAATGCTAGCCAGTCAGCAGGTGCACCGCTCATTCAAACAGGTCACGCATGCTTCTGTTCTGTAATTTTCACACACAATTGCAGTACATGTGGAGGTGCTGCCTGAAGCATGTTGTATTTGCTGCTCAACCAGTGCACAAGAGATTGCTGTTGACCAAAAGACTCCGGCGGTTTCTCCATGGCCAAAACTCGGCTTCACACAGCCGTCCATTTGAGCTGACGACTTGCTTGCCCAAACAGCGCTGCTGCCAATTGAGGCTCAGTTGTGGTGGGCACAGAGTGCGCTTGAGGCTTCAACAACAGAAGGCACCTACTCACAATGTCCCTGGCATTGCACACCTGGTTCTCTTTGACGTTCAACCTTCCCCCCAGTCGCACGTACTTCGCAAACAGCTGTGCATCCACCAGCTCTTCCTTCAAACGATGGTTCTCCAGAGCCTGGGTGGAAAGCAACATCCCCATGGACCCCACGCGATCGAACATCTCCAGCTCTGTGGCCTCGATGCGGTTGGCGAGTTCTCGATTCTCCACCACACAAGCGCCGCAGGCCATTGCCTTCTGGCCATAATCGGTCACGATCTCCACGGCCAGGCTCCACGCGAGGAGAGTGGTGACGTAGAAGAGCATCCGCCAAGGGAACGCCGGCGCCACCTGCGAACGCGCCAGCGCCATGCCGTTGAAGAATGCGGCCGTGCACAACACAGCGACCATCGGGCGCACACCAACGCCGTCGATCAGCAACCGCGCACGGCCAGAGCGACGCCGCACACGGCCAGAGCGACACCCGCACCCACATCAAGCGCGAACACGCTCTAGGGCCATTCAGCGACGCGTCGCGCTCCCGAAAAGACGTCCGTCGGCCAACAAAACAAAACAAACAAATTAAAAGCAAGCGCCAAAGCATAAAGCAAGCCAAAAGCAAAACACAAAACGCGGCGCCACCCCCACCTTCGGCTGTGGACCGCGCAGGGCCACCGCATACGGCCCCCGGCCGCCCTCCACCACCCCGTTCGCCGGAAAGATCCTCGGCCGCTTTTCCTGCTTCGCCCTGCGGTGCGGTGCGCCTCCCCTGGAGCTCCTCTCGTGCCCACCGGCGCTCCTCCCCCTGTCCCCGCCGCCCCTCCTGGCCTCCCTGCTCTCCACGGCGGTCCTCTCCAGGGTGACGGTGTCCTGGGGCCCCTTGGGCGCCTCGGGCACGGCCCTGGACTCCGCCACGGGGATGTCCACGCCGTTCTCGGCGAACCAGTTCTTGGTGCCCAGCCGCGGGCAGCTTACGCCCCTGTCGGGCTGGTCCACGGTCTCGAACAGCGGGTTGACCATGGGCAGCTCGTCCAGCACGCGGCTGGCCGTGCGCCTGTGGTGGGGCTTGGATTTCGGGGCGCGGACACCGGGCACGGGCAGGTCGTAGGCCTCTGGGAGCAGGGTTGAGAGCCAGGCGTCGTCACCCTAACCGGAGAGGGGGAAGCAGAAAGCATTCATGGGGATGGAAGCGGAGAAACAATAGGGGAACTGGGAGGGCGAGGTCACCGGAGATCCAAGAATTATCTGAGGATAAAAGGGAGGAACTGGGGGGGGGACGCGGACGTCCGGGGAGGAGCACTCTGGGCGGGAAGGTGAGATTAAGCGCATCGTTGCCAAGGTGTGTGTGTGTGTGCCGTGGGGGCGCCGGTCGGGAAGGTGGGCGGAGGGGGTGTCGGCGCATAGTCGTTAGTCGGCGAGCATCGTTTCGAGCGCCGCGTTCGGTTGCCCGCCGTCGGGAGGTGTCCTGGAAACCGCAAGGGGGCGGGAACATGATCGGCCGAGGGGAAGTTGCGGCAGGGAGTGGCAGCGCCGGATCCAAAACGGTGTCCGCCAACAAAGAACCCAGTCGCTGCGGCCGCGCTGAGTCCGAACGGGTAGGCACGGACGACCGCGGTGAAAGAGCCGGCACCGACGCGCTCATCCCCACTCGCCAGTACCGGGCAACCGACAGTACGCTCGAGGCCGGAATGGGCGCCCATGAGGCGCTCTTAAACGGACAGCACATCCCACCTCCGGGCGCCGTCAGGCCGCCGCCAATGGCCGCCCCGGCCGTCGTTGGCAAAGGGCCCGGCGGCCGTCCTGTCAGTCAAACACGTTCCGCCATCCGCGACAATCGATTCGCGCCGAAAGCATCGACAAAAACGGCTGCAACAGCGCGCCACCGATAACTGAGACGGGGCAGGTGGTGACCACCAGGGGCCGGCATCCCAAAAGGCGCTGTGGTACATCTTTCACGGCGGCCGACAAGGGAGGACGTACGGGGGTGTCCGATGTGCCGTCGACCCAGGCAAGGTCCGCAGCCACATCTACCCCCCGCCGGGCCCCCAACCGGCCCCAGCGCGCTCACATTCGAGTCTTCCATCTCCGCCTTCCTCTGCAGCTTGGAGACAGACTTGGCCCACTTCTTGGACGCGGCAGCGGCCACGCCGCTCAGTTCGAAGTCCTCCTGTTTTTGGAGCAACTCGGGGTTCTGAGACGCAGGCCGCTTTCCACGATGCATGCTGGATGCCGGGGCGGGCCTCTCTGCAGCGGGGGCGGCGCGCCGGATGCGCCTTCCTTTCGCTTAGCTCCGGCAGGGCCCGCCCGGCTGCCAGGCCCTATGCGCAGGCCAGCCCGGCAACAAACTGTGGCTTCGACTGACAAACCCGCTGATGGATCCCAACGGTTTTGATGCCAGCTAGGGGAGCAGACGGATGCAATCACCATCGATCCCTTACGTGACGCCCCTCCCGCCTGCAGTACGACGGAAGTACTCCGCTTGGGGCCCGCGGTATGTGGCGGCCTCAGCCTCGACGGACGGGGGGTTGATTTATGTGGCGGTTCTGCGGGGGGTCCGCTGCTACTCTCCCAGACTTTGCAACTGCTGCTCCCCACCAATATTATTGCCCCTCCACCCAGCTTGGCCAATGTACGGGTTGCTCCTTGTCACGGCGCTGTGCACTCACCTTGGCCTGTCGCTGTGAAACAATTCGCCAAGGCGGTGACCATGATGCACGGCACCCGGCGGCGAGCAGATCCATGCCGCGCTTCAAGGCCCACGGCCTCGAGGATTGTTCTGCGCTCGTTCTGTCACTCCACGCTGACGCGCGCACCACGTTCGACAGCAATGGCGACGAGGCGAAACGAGGGGGAGCTCGAGGACGGCAAGGGTGATATGCCGCACGAGGGCCCTCGGGGATCGCTTATAAGTGACCCTCGGCTTGGCGTGGCGTCAGGCAGCGTGCAGTTTGCAATGCGAAAATTCCTCAGTCTCTCCCCACCTCTCAGGGTGTTGTGTTGTCTGGTACTGTTTGGGCACTGTACAGGCGACCGAGAACCGCCCTGCCGGATGATTCGCTCCTGCCTGAGACCGCGACTTGAGACGAAAGTGGTTCACTTTCGCCTCGACGCGGAGACGAAAGTTTAACTGGTTTTGAAGAATTTCGCGGGAGAGCCAACATGTCCAGCCACTGCGTGATTCACAACTTCAGAAGTTGTTGGAAGGAATTGTGACCAGCAGAGTCTGCCTGAAGAGGACACTGGGGTCCACCATGGCGTCCAGAAGAGCATCGGCTGGTACAGTTAGTAGATGTCGCCCGAGGGGCGGGTGGGCAAGCCGAATGTAGCGTGAGGGCCGGGGTTATATCAGCCCTCGGTGATAGATGTTCGTCCAAGGGCGCGGATCGGCAGAAGCCCATTATCAGAATTGTTCGTTCATTTCTGGAATTTCAGTCGGTCATCTATACCGTTGGTTGCTTGGATATGACCATGGGGAAGTGTGATATTTTCCACTCTTGGACTGGTTCTCTCCAAAGGAACATCGAACATCATTTGACTGCTCTCCAATCGAATCTGTGCTATTGTGCCACAGGACCAGCTGTTTGTCGGAGTTTCCTACGCTCATCAATGTGGCCACGACAGTTGCTACAGCAGTGCTACAGCGGGTGGTTCACTCTCCACGAGGGAGAGCTCCACATTGATGTGTCAATTGTACCGAACGGACTGAGCAAGGCTGTCTCGTTGGTGTACGCAAACTGAATAGCCCAGCAAGCAAGGCGACTTGCCCTGCATTCGCTCATCTTCATTCGCCATTACGTTGCTTGAGGCGTGCAAGGGTAGTCAGTGGGATTCGCCATGAGGAGGCGATAATATTTGAACAAAAAGCCCATCACCGTCACCCTTGACACCCGCACCGGACCGACCTTGTTGAGCACCAGCCATCCACCTTTGCCATGACAACCAAACGACAATCATCATGCCAACATTGGTGCGCAACGCTTTGAGTTGACGGCAACCCAAATCGCAAATGCATGGCGTGCGAGCCTGTGCACTTGGCAGAGAGGGAGTCCGCTCCTACAACAGCGTTCGTTACACTTTGCGAACACTGATATATCAAATAGTATCGCGCAAGGATCGAACAAGTGTATGTCTGTGTGTTAGAAATTCAGTCGCCCCTAGTCTACCTCCCATGCGCATCCTTGCAAGAGCCTGCGATCAGGCCACCGCGAGACCAGTGTGATTTTAGGCAAGCTAAAACCGACAAGCTGGCAAGTGTTCAACTTGGCCAGCTTCGCACTCTCTACAACCTGGAACGTCAAGGCGTAACGACCCTTCGAGTTTCTCAATCGTTTTCAACACCACCACCGCCTGCGGGTCATAACCACGTCCAGAGTGAAGTCCGTTGCAGCTCAGAAGCGAGTCCTTCCCTACCCTAAGCCGTCAATTACCTCGTTACATTGTACACATCATTTTCGTGCCCATCCCCGACTCCCTGGTCGCCTGGCACACCCTGCCTTCCGAGCGACCCTTAGGAGACAGCATCTGCGACTCCCTGTCCTGCCACCACACCAACTGCCCTGTACATACTGCTCCAATCATCAGGACAAACCTCCCGGTGGACATTCAGTAATCCAGTCTTGTATTTTATTCTGGTCGAGCAGAGTGACGACTTACTCCATACCACAGGACTAATGCCATCACAAGGTCAAGTGGTCACGGCTAATTCCCTTTCGCTGGCTGGATATGCGACAAATGGGCTGGGGTGACAAGTGCATGCTCCGGCACGAGCCCTGTCGCCCCTACAGTGTTTATTTTCACCCCAGCCAATCCGCATGTGTAGAGCCATCCCGCTGCCACACGCCGTCCTCATCCGATCCAAAGGCCACAAGTGTGGCCGGCACCATTCTATAAGCCATTCCAACTACTCCCAATTGAAACTAATGCACGCATTCCAGAGCCCCGCTCAACTTACCCTCAAAAAAGTCCAATCATGCCCAAAAAGTACAGAGCCTACTGTACAGCACAATCACAGGGTTGCCTCACACCTGCCATGCATCTACTGCTTGAGGCGTCTCCATATCCACAGGTGTGCCTCAAACTCTCCAATACTCTCCTCCTCCTTCACTATGGCTGTCGCAAGTCGCAAGAGCGCCTTCTCGTATCCCGCCTCTGCAGCCATCGCCACCCTGGCGGACCTCCTTTCCAGCACCGCATTGATTTGGTCGCGGCTCAAAATCTCATGTTCAGACTGGCCTTTCCTGCACCGCGCCTCTGTAGGATCGGACTCCATCAGCCCAATCAGGAGGTCCAATTCCAGGAGCTCGATCTGAGCACGAGCAGCCGCACCTCGGATGGCGATGGTAACAGCATTAGGTGGGCCGCCCCGCATCAGCACCACCATCGTGATGTTGTTCTCAGTCAACACCCAGGGGTCACGGACCATGGCGATCCTCGCCAGCACATGCTGATCAGTCAATTTTACAATGTCCAGCGGCAGCTCACCAATGTCGCCAAACAACTGAATGCCTGGGGTCTGCTTCACATTGGCAGGCACAGGCTCATCATCGTCGTCAGCACCCGTTGACATGGGCCTGGCGTAGATCGGAAGGCTTCCTGACGTCATGAGCTGGTCTAGGCGGCGTTCTACCATGGTAAGAGAAGGCCGCCACGACTGGTCCCTCACCAACATGAAGTTCAGGAGGTCCAGCACAATTTCTGAAGACTTTGAATCCAGATCCAGCAGCCTGTAGGCACAGTAAAAGTGCTCATGACCATAACAACAATTCTCGATTGTCTCTTGCTGCGGCATGGTGCTCAAACGCCACCAGCGGCCATAGAGTGGCTGCACAACACTTTCCTGCGCAAAGCGACAGGAGTAGGCATGGATGGCAAGCTGCAACAGTGCAATACTGGCAGGATCATCATGGCAGGCCCTGTGCACCACACATGAAGCTGCCCATGTACTGTTCGATCCAACATGCCAATTGTTCCTGGCTCTGGCATGTGCACAAGTCGTGTTCAAATGTTATTCAAATGTTGCCCAGACGAATGTACAGATTCCAACACAGCATGACACAAGCAATTCAACATGTTGCCACCCAGCAGACACTGGGCCACACAACAATCTCTTGTAGCTTGCCACCATAGCAGCACAAGTCAGCTGGGCAGAACAGCAATTTCAAGAACAGCAGCAGCTCCAGCACTGCCCCCCTGTGGTTCACCTGAGCCGTTCACCATCGACAACGGGTAGTGATGCCCGTGTGATCCTCACAAAGAACCGCGCGTAGTCATCGTCGTACTGCAGCACCTCACCAGTAACAACCTCAAACAAAAGGCACCCAAGAGCCCAAACGTCACAGGGCTGGCCTGCCCCCTGTCGCTTCCTGCGATCAAACTCTGGCAGGTCTCTCTTGCTGGCGTTGGAAATCAACAGCATCTCAGGACTCTTGTTGAACTCTGTGCCTCTGGTGAGAACAACAAATCACACCAAACTCTCAAGCTTTGTGGCACATGCAACTTAAACTTATGAGAGCAGCATCCACAGACGTCACAGTGTACTATGAGAAAAGTCTCTGACAACCCAGTTCGATTCTCCTTTTCTTCAACAGGCTGTTGCGCTTCCACGTATTATGTGTGCAAACCACCACACAGAAAAGTATGAGCTGACATACTGTAGGCAATCGCCACCTCACAGCAAAAGAAAGGAGCAGAACACTGTGGAACTTGTTACCATACCCTTGCAGCTGACCCCAAACACTCCGGTTTCTTACTGAACACTTCTCTCAAACCATTCACAAGGGAAACATGGGCAGTGCACTGGCACACTTTTTACCATTGGGAACAGTGAGGATCTGCTCAAGGCTGTTACATACCGGTTGCGCACTGTCCTTGCTTCCCAGCTGTTAGAGTAGCTGCGGGCTTCCCCAAAGTCAGCCAGAACCACCCTGAAAGGCAACTCCTCTGTTGGGGGAGACCAGAAGTGACCCTCCACACCCGGTAGGGGGTCCAGCAGGACGTTGCTGCATTTGAGGTCAAAGTGCACAACATTGTGCTCATGAAGAATTTTTACCGCTTCGACAACGTTGCGGAAGATCCTCAAAAATAGTCTGAGTGCCCTGGGACACCTTGCTGGCAACCTCTTACGCCAGTCCTGGAGTCAACAGTGTGTCCCATCAGCTCGTTCTTGCACTTTGCTACACTTCGTCATTTCAACACACATTCAGCTGTGCTAGTCTGTACTCCCCACTTGTGGATAAACAAGTCAACCAACTACCAAAACTACTGAATATGCAGGAACTGCACCAGCATCAGAGTATGGCAACAAAAGTATTATGCTGACAACACATGTGACACCAGCATCGTCCATAGCAGGCCAGACAAGGACATAGTCTGACGCCATAGTTTACCAAGCAATGCATCCCAACAAACCCAGAATAGTAGCCCACACACTTCAAACCTGTATGTGCTGCAGGACACACACAGGCAGTGGCGTTCCTGGAGAATACCCGAATAAAATATGAGGATGGAAAAATCAGGGTCGCTGCATTCCAGAAGCGAGGCAACATTGTTGGATTTGGGCAAACGCCATAAGAGCGCCTTTTTCTCACCAGCAATGAACACCTGTACTCCTTCATGACCATGTACATGGAGTCATGCGTGATGCCATAGTCAAAGAGCTGTGAGATGCAGGGCAACCCACGGAACTGCTCCAGGATTGACACCTCTGAAAACATATCCATGAGCGTACGCATGCAGTTGGATTCTGCTGGAAGATCTTCAACTTTCACTGCACAGGTATTTGGGCCACCTGCAAGGGGAGCAGGATAAGTTGCTGAACGTGAAAGACATTGAAGAATTGAAAAACAGGACAATGCAACATTAAAATGCACACTGGCATTCCAGAATTCACCACTGACGAAATCACTTTTGCAGAATCCCACAAGCATATTTCCAGCACATGCACAAAGGAATTGCGAACTTTAATACCCTTGCCTCTTGATGATCTTGACAACATCGAGATGCAATACTGCTTTGTGAACACTGCTTTCCTCAAAGCAACGTTCCCAATGTGCAAATGCATAAAGCACAAGCAGAAATTTATGAGGTCATTTTTCAGGGGATGCAATCATTGAAAGGACCCAGAATACACTGGGCACTGCAACTTGCACATCCAACAGTTGTCACTACAATTGACAACGAAACAGTGTGCTTCCTTGTTCACCTTTGACAGGCAACATGCATCGGTGAACCTGGGCGAAGGCACCCTTTCCCATTCTCTTGCTGCTCTTGTATATAGAGCTAGGGAAGAACTCTCGGGCAAGCATCCTGTCCACACAAAGAACTTCTTCACCTGTAACCAAGATTAAGTCTGATTTCGATTTGGTGAGGGCTTCTATCAGAGCGCCATAGAACATATGGAAAACAGGCAACAGCACTTTGGTGCACATCTCGAGAGCCTGATGCCAATGCAACCGAGGCAACCATGTGCACTTTTCCATGCCCAAGAAAGCAAACTGGAGTGAAAAGAAGCAGCGCAGAGCAGTGCCATACTGTAAGGCGGTTGAGGCATGCTTCAGCCCATACCTCAACAACCCGAACAATCGCGGATTCCTCTTCAGTGCGCGGTGCCTCAGCACGGGCAGTATGTGCCGTGAACAGCTGTGGTTGAGGTGGTGGTGCAAATAGATTGGAAGATCCTTCTGGACCAGCTGCACTGCCTCTGGTTTGTCAGTCTCTCTGGCTGGACGGGTGCACTCTTCCAGCAGCATGCCTTCCAGCAAGATTTCCAATATGATCGCATGCAGCTTGTCGCTCTGGTAGGCTCCCCTCAAACGGCGCATCACAGCAAACTGGCTACCTGCTGCATTGTTTCAATGGGAAGACATCAAAGACAGGTATCCCAACAGTGAAATACAATACAACGTGGCCACAATAAATCAAGACACACTACAAAGACCTCCAATTCTACAGCGTGGGGGAATGCATCGATAGCTTGAAAGTGTACTTCACTTCCCTGCGATGGTCAACAAGCACAGTAAACACAATCAATCAGAGTTATTACCTCCATTTTCTGCAGAAGACTGCTGGCTCTTGGGGTTCTGGCCAGCCAATGAGTGGTCCTTCCTCATTCCAGCAAGTGACAGTGGGCCTTTTGTGCTGTGCGCATCCTTTCCAGCTCCTCCTCCCCGATGCTTAACCATGCCAGCAACCCCAATGGGTAGTGGAGGCGTTGGGGCACGATCGGCTGCTGCCCTCACACGATGCACTTCTTTCTTGGTGTCATAGGAGAACAGACTTTCTGGTTGTCGTGTATCCATGTTAGTCGCACTGACAAAAGGGTTCGACGTGCTAACCCCGGTCCAGACGTGCGTCATGGACTTGGTCTGCTCTGAAGATATTGAACCCCAGCTCATCATGTTTCCACTGAGGTTGGATTGCTGCCGAGTGTGCTGAATGAAACCCTGGTTCAGATCCAGCAAAGGAACCTCTGCTTTGCCATGGCCCTCAAGTTCCATATCATTGGCAAAGTCGCCTGTCTGCAGTGTCGAGAAAGATGCCACTGTTGACATTGACAGCCCTCGCTGCCTGCGCTCAAGGGCATCAAGCCTTCGGGCGTCATCCGAGACATCCCCTGTGTACTCAAAGTCACTGGGGGGTTGGAACGTGCTTGCCTTCGAAACCATGGAATCTGTTCGCTGGCATAGGGGAGATCCATTGGACTTACCAAATGCATCTGATCCAACCGACTGCTGAGAGATGTTCCTGGAACGACTCCGCAGTCGGCTCTTGCCAGGACGAGCGATTGGGCCACCGATGCTGATGGGAGGCACTGGGATGGGCTTGCTCCCTGCAGCTAGATCTGAGGAACCTGACAAATCGAAGGACCCAAACTGTGACGACATTGTTGACAGGGTTTCCCCTCTCTTCCTCCTCTCCATCCTGTCCAGCATCCGTGCATCATCCGATGCATCCCCAGTCATCTCAAAGTCGTACATGAGGTTGGCTACCGTGCCAGATAATGGTCCTCCTGCCACACCCCTGGAATCAATAGATGGCACCCGGGAGTGCTTGTCCTCACCTGCAAACCCCAAGGATGTCTTGCTCCTTTGGTCGTCCTGGTACTGGCTGCTGGATGTCCTGAGCATCTCCTTTGCTGGGTTGCCTTCCTGCGGCGTTGATGCCTCCATACCAGGCATCCGTATTGGCGGGACACTGAAAGGCCGCGCTCTGCCGCTTCCAGGCAAAGAAAATGTGTCCATCGAGTCAAACGATGGTGCATAGCCATGATGCTGCCTCTCAAGTCTTTCCAACCTCCTTGCATCGTCAGACATATCACCTGTGTATTCAAAGTCAGAGGGAGGTTGCCAGCTTCCTGGTGATGTTGAACCATCAAAATCTTCACTGCCAAAAGCAGATTGCACATCCTGGTTGGCACTGGCCTGATGACCTGCTTGTGCATTTGGCACAGACGATGATGCAGGGGTATTTGCCCGTGCTCGACAGACAAGGCCAAAAGTAGGCGGACCATTGTGTTCTGATTCGGACAGCTTCCCTCCTGAAGGGGAACGTTTCCCTGCACAAAACAGCAAAACAGATGAGGCAGACAAAAGAGGCATTGACACAAATGTGTCTGAAAGAATGTCCATGTTGCACAGCAGTGTTTGCAGTGACACTGTCTCCATGGGCTCATGCCCTTCGATTGCTCATCATTTTATGTGTGTTTGAACAAACACTCATTTGTACCCTCATTGTGCAGGAGCTCACAATTGCTGTCAGCTCTGTTGAAGAGCAACCAGGTAATGGACATGCATGCAAAGTACACAAATATTGTTAGCACTCAATCAATGTGGCACTGAACAGTATGCAGGTGCAGACCACCATATCTGTACCAAACCTGCAAACAAGTCTCAAGTGGCACCACTCTGAGCAAGGAATCGTCCCATTCATTGCAGCACACCTCAACTTGGCCACCTTGAAGTCAATTGCCAATGCTCGCTATGCAAGTCAGAATGGCACAACAGTATCCTGGTTGGCAACTAGCTCACAAAAGGTTTGCAGCTAATGTGGTGCCAGAGTCGGTCACAATAATTCAAGTACAACGTTGTTGGCAAGCAATCGAAGCAAACAATCGATGTGCATGCGTGCTTGGAAACATGGAATGCAATGAGAAAACAACCACTGCACATTAACACACCTGCACGCCTTCCAGCAGCCTCACTGGCATCGAGTTCACTGGGTTCTCTTCCAATGGTGAAAGAAGAATCACGATCACAGATGTACTCAGAGGATAACGTCGTGCTCGTGATTGAAGATGCTGCAACAACACACATTATCGCCATGCTCACCAAAGATGGGAAGATCATAGGCTGCACTCGGTACAAACATTGGTTCCAACCGTGCCTTCATCTGGCCTAATAGGCATCAATCTTTGGCAGGGAATAGAAGAGTACCTGAAAAGTACTAAGAACAGCAGCACTTCAACAGCAAAATTGTGAGGCACGGTCCGCATCGTTGTGCTGGTGGGTGTGTGTGTGTGGGGGGGTGGGGGTGGGGTGGGGGGGGGGGTCAACTGATTTCAACATGCTGCAGCACAAGACTGCACACAAACCTGTGTTATTAGGATCAAATAGCTGCTGGCTGCCCTTCACTGGTACCCTAGCTCCCACAATCTCTGCAAGATTCAGACGGGGAACAACACCATCCACATCTTGTTGTGGGACAGCGCTGCCTGCGGCAGAATCCTGTTCTGCTTGATCATCATTGTGGAGCCTCAAAGCTGGTACAGGCTGATTCACTGCATTGCTGGGACCAGGGACCCCAGCGTCAACAGCAGGATCTTCACCAACAGAGAATGTCTCTGCGGAGACCATCTCACCCCTAGCAAAACAACAATTGGGTCAAAGACGCAGTTGCTGCAAATGCAAACCATCAATACAGGTAGGCAATAACACAGTTCCATTCAAAAGGTCGGGACATTTGAAGTCCCATCCCACAGTGCACAAAACAATCTTTGCATGCAGTTTAGGACAAATGAGGTGAGGCACACATCCAGGCCAGGCCAGGCAATCAAGGCAAAGAACTGTTTTGGTCACTTTCTTGTTTCCGTGACCCCACCTCAATTCTGTTGCTTCTGGGATGAACACAAGATCTCCCTGCTCCCCATCACTGTCCAGGTCTGCATTACCCAGCCTTGTCGGTGGTGAAGGCTCTTTCTGAAAGTCAAGTGAGGACTCGCTGCCTGTGGGAGTGGTCTGTCCATCTTCTAAAAGCAAGGCTATTTCCCTCTCATCTGGTTTTGTGGAGACTTGCAGCACACTCTCTCCCAAAGGAGCCCATGATTTCGACCTAGACTTGCGAAGCGCTGCACTCTCTGCTGTTGGTGGATCAACACCCATATCAGTCTTGTCCACAATGGTGGGCAGCACTGTTGTTGACATGGCCCTTTTTCTCGGAGCTTTCCTGGTTGGCCTGTTTGGTCCATACCGTGAGGCCAAGGACTTGGGCGGTGTGGATGGCCTCACCTTCGTACCAGAATCCCAAGCAGTTTTGGCAAAAGGCTCGGCAATGCTGTCCAAAGTACCAGGCATTGCCGATCTGGCACGCCTTGCCTTTACACCCTCAGTCTTGTTCTGCAGTTGACCTGGAGTGCTGTGAGCTCGGGCCATTCCTGCCTTGCTTGAAGAAAGTGCCGCCTTTGGCCCTTTAGAGTCACTACTAGCACGGCCAGCTGTTGCTTCGCGCTGAACCACATTTGCCTTTGCATTTCTGCTGTCAGCACTGTGCCTGCCAAGGCTCTTCGGCTGGAGCCTACCTGGCCCACCCACAACTGGTTTGGAAGTAAGCGACAAAATTGCCCGGATGTCCCCACCTGGCGAACCTGTCTGTGAGGATGTACTAGGGAACTCATCCAAAGGACATTCCAAAGGCTCAAAAACAGCACTGGATGCTGCTTGCGAGCCAGAAGCCACTGAAGCACAAGCTGACATCGGTGGCTCCTTTGGAACTGCTGTTGGAGGCTCCATCGCCTTGCCTTTGCCCGGCAATGCATGCCCCCTGGGCTTCTGTTGGTTTGCTGTTTGGTTGCCACTGCCACTGCCACTGCCACAGGACTCTGCAGCCAAAGTGCATGGAGTTTGTCCTTCGCTTGGGGCAGTTTGTACATCCTTCTTATGGCGGCGAGCACTTCGCTTGCGGCGATACACAGTTTTCCCATCAGTCGCACCAGCAATCCGTCGTGCATCTTGTGAGCCACTGGATGCCAACTTGCCCAGCGACCTCTTCACACCAGATGCCCTTGCTCCATTGCTAGGTTTGTCCTCAGAAGGTCCCCCCTCTTTTCTGTCCCGGCCGTCTCCCTTGACAGCTTTCGCATCTGCACTCTTTGTGCTTCTTCGAAAAAGTGAAACCTCAGCAGCACCATCATCTTTCTTCTCCCTACCGTCATCCTTTACGGTTTTGGCATCCGTGCTCTTTGTGCTCTTCCGAAACAGGGAGACCTCAGCAGTGCCCTCTTCCTTCTTACCCCTGCTCTCCTCCTTGAGGGTCTTGGCTTCAGTACTCTTTAAGCTTTTCCGAGCAAGTGTTACAGGCTTCTTTCTTCCTGATTTCTGGCCTCTGGCAGACTTCTGGCCACTGCCACCTGAGCAAGTCTTCGTCGTAGTCACTTGTGATCCATTTGACGATCGCCCCTTCGACTTGCCGCTCTTCCTGTCGAGCCTTACAAGGGACACCCGGGTGCTTGAGTCAGTGGACGCCTCCTTCGCAGGAGCAGGAGATAGCGAAAGTGGTGGCACAGGATTGGGCGCTGGGGCAGCAGCTTTCTGCCCTCCAGATGGCCGGGCAGCTGCCTGGACCTTCTTGTCTGCAAACGCACTTTGCGGGATCTTCATTCTGTCATTGCCATGCTGCTTCTGGCGCTGATTCACTTTTGCCTGTGCTGGCATGAAGCTCTGCAGCTTAACTGCCATAGCTTCCTTCCCTTCAATGCTGATTTCCCCTGCCAGTCGCTCCAGGATTCCCAGCGCGCAAAGGTGTGTATATATGAATGGCTTCTTGTGAGCAACAATCTCACGGATCACCTAATGGCAGCCAGCCAACAATTCAGATTAGCTAACTATTGTTCTATCCCAAACTGCAGTGAAACGCAAAGATGCAATGGAAGAAACAACCTGCACGTAATAAGCTTGCCTCCAAGTATTCAATTGGTGTTCAAGGAGCACCAATCTTCAAGGGTAGCCATGTTAGGCAGGTGCAGACATCAAGCAAACAAATCGCTGAAACCAATCTACTTCCTCTGTCCCAAATTAAATGACCCGATTGCTTTCAGCACTGTGTTTTCACCATAATATCACTTCCGCTTTCCCTGAAAATTCACTGTCAGCTAGGGGCATGAGTATAGACGATGCAGTCAAAATTTCAGATGAATGCGCTGAGTAGAAGGTAATTGGCGTCAGTTTTTGTCCACCCCCCAAAACCCCCAATAATCCACAGGCTATGGGGAACCAATCAGGCCATACACATGCTCGATCTGGCCGTCCGAATGATGCATCGCCGATCCCTGGGCCTTGAGAATGACCGCGCCAACCTTCAGTCTGATCGGCATGGCCAGCTCTGCTCGAGCGGCAGCGCTTCGCCCTCTCGAAGCGGCAGCCCTCATCATACTGGAAAATGCCGGTTTCCCAGTGGCTGTGGATTATCGGGGGTTTGGGGGAGTGAGCAACGTGGACAAAACTGATGCCAATTAAGTTGCACTCAGCAGATTCATATGAAATTCTCATAGCATACTTTATACTCGTGTGCCTTGCTGTAAGCAAATTTTCAGGGAAAACGGGAGTCATCTTATGGTAAAAACACAGTTCTGAAAACAATTGGGCCGTTTTATTTGGGACAAAGGGAGTCAAAGCGACAGCTCCTCTCACCTCCAAATGAAGCCGACAAACTGGTTTGACTTCACTCCCCTTGGCCGCTGCCCTATTGTACAGCTTCTTAAATGCCGTCCAATGGAGGTCCAGATAGTATAAGGACACGTCACTTTGAGCAAGAATTGTGTTGTGTGGCACAGAAAAGGCTGCCTTGAGGAACAGCAGGACCTGCGTTCATCAGATATGCTATTAGTGCGGCGCACATCTAAAATCAATGGCCACAGCATTGAGCGCAAGCCAAGGCACAGATGGTGCGACAATGCTGACGACCACTGCACAATTCTAAAATCAAAATGAACAGCACATGGTAACCAGTCACAATTCTGGAGACCGGCTGGAACATTTCGCTAAAAGACACAGCACATATTACAATCTCAAGTCCAATGCCACAGACAACGAGAACTGCAACAAACTATGGCAATCCATTCTCCCTGAATTATCAATTCTCAAATCGTTTCCATGCTCAGCCACCTACTGCTTATTGGCATGTGCCCAAGCCTTGCAAACAAAACCATGTTGTGCTCCACACCATGAATGCACAGCTCTTGCTGCAGCAACCATATCTGAGACACAGCATGGTGATGACCCAAGCTTCCAAGACAACGAAAACAAGGCCCAGGTCATTACTTTTCAAGGCCAAGATTTTCCCGGTCCAAGGGGGGTCTTAAACAGGTGCCTGCATTGCACTGTTCAATGCCAACACTGCACACCCTTCAAGATGTCCCACCTGTGCATGGAGGCCCCCACCAAGAGGCGGTCCCCCATTTGCTGCACCCCAATCGTTGTGTCGCAGCACACGGGGAACCAGCCCATCTCGAGTGGAAATCAGAAATGATAGGTGCTCCAAGATGTCACTGCCATGGCCAACAGGACGTCCAAACTGGCAGTCGGTAGGAACAGAACCTAAAATGGAGAACAGCACCAGTGACCACAGGATATACACAAAAACTCATTTCAAGATTGCAATCTGCTACAACACTGGGGCTTGGTTGCCTTTCAGCCTGGCTGGAACCTCACTAGGCATGGCGTACCTGGGGTGCAAGACTCATGCATTGTTCCCTCCCGTTGCCTGGCAACCACCTTCACCAAGGAAGTGAAGTAACAGAAGACTGCCAGGCGAAGACAAGCAAGCTCGTGCTTGTCATATAGTGACGCCAGCTTGTCAGAGAACAACACAGCCTTTGCATAGTCAAAGACAAACGTGCGCCACTGGCGCCTTTCCAGCAGAGAACGTATCAAGAACTCCTCCAGCACAACGTCTCCTGCACGTTCCAGCATGGCCCTGAAAAGTTTCAGAAGAGCATGAAAAACGCGGACAACAGCAGGAGGCCAGGCGACAGCTCGTTTCCGCTGAAACAGTGCCGCCTCAACTTGGGTCACTGTGTCCGAGCATCCGTACGCAACAAGCTGCGCCTGTGCAGAAGCTGGAGACGTCGAAATGAAGTCTCCCAGAAGATTGATAAGGGACACTGTTTCCTCCAAAACGCATTCATCTGTTCATACACAGGCAACCACATCAGTGAAGAACTGGGAGAGATGGCTTGCTACTGAATGGCTGCTGAGCATCGCAGGAAGCTCGCTGATATTCCGTGATCGCACTGCACTTGCTGCCCACAAGAAAGCCTTGACGCGAGGAGCCAAAAGGCAGGGAATTCAGGAGCTGCAGGAGATTCTGAAATGTCAGTGTTGATGCCATTGCCTTACCCAAATTTCTGATTGCCATCAGCTGGGCCAAACGACCCTTCGCATTGTGGATGAGAGTGTTGTAACTTGCGCCAGATATTTCCTGTGGCATGAAGACCCGCATACCAGGAGGAGACAGCTGCAGTTCCTGAGGTATGCGACAAGCAAACTCATGCACAACTGCCAACGCCAAAGCACTGCCCCTTCGGCTTGGGCCCCTACGAACTGGTGGTTGTTCTCCAGGGTACACCAACCAAGTAGGCGTCAGCAGTTCAGCAACCACAAGACCAGATGGATCCGATCGCACCAACTCCTGGCTTGCATCGTCGTCATCCGCAGGGTTGGTGTCAGGCTCTAGAATGTGGACCTGCTGTTCCAAGAGACTGCCCTGATTCAGAGCTGAAAAGCCCAAGAACAGCTCCATGATAATGCACTTGATCTGGTAGGCAACTGACGCCTCCAGATCCCATTGGCCTACAGCAGGGACACCCCATGTGTGCATGGTCCTCTCAGCAATGCGATCAAGTGGAACACTTCGAACATTCCGCATCGGAGGAATCCCTGTTGATAGTTGGGGGAAGTGGCCTGGACGGCAGCCTTTTTGTGGAACTGCAGATATATCCACACCCACGTCCTCGGCATCGTCATCAAGGACAATGGTCCTTCCATCAGGAAAACTGAGAGTGGTCCTCGTTGTTGAGGCTGTCCCGGCCTTTACCTGGTCGTGCTTTGTCAGCCAGTAGAAAGTTAACTTTGGCAGCTCTGGATGGCTGGTGGCTGAGTCACGTCCTGGAACTGGTGCAAGTGGAGATGGATCGACAAGACCACTGAAGCCGCTGCCAAAAGGTGACTCCACCAGATCTACATCCAGAGAATATGTGCTCATGCCACATTCCGATGTGGTCTTCAAGGGGGCGTGAGGGGTAGAGCACGTAGGACCAACATTTGCTGCCATGGTCCCATCATCTGAACTTGTCTGAGACAAGCTGAATAATCCACCAGCCGTATTGCCATCGTCACCTGCCAAGACAGGCACCGCAAACCTGTCAAAATTTGCACCAGATAACCATTTGAAACCAGGGGCATGTTATACTCTGAAATATTACCTGCTGGCAAGAAAGATGCTACCAGCTTCCTCTTGACATCCTCTTGACCTCAGCAGAAGGCTAGCTGCCACAACATCTACTAGATGGGAAGTTTAATTGGAAGTTACAGTGCTGCCCTGCTTGCTGCCAATGTCAGCTTCTCCTCAATGAATGCAAAACAAACTGTGGGCACAGCACATTGAGGGAGGATATCTCTCTGTTGGCATCTTGTTTTGACGATACCAGTTGCGATGGTCATGCTTTAACAATGAGACACATTGCTGCAGTCTGTACAAAGTCAAGACAAGAGATTGATGTCAAGCACCATTTTCCTGTCTGCCCTTTGAACACCAACATGCCAGATGGCCACACAGAGGCACCCAAGCAGCAGCTCACCAGTGAACATCGGTTGCAACTGCAAATCCATGGCTACATCGTGCGATTCAAGATCATCCTGATCGTCTCCTCCCTCACTGCTCGAGCTGGACGATGACGATAAGTCTTGTGTCATCATCTGATATTGTGTCATCAGTGTGTCTACAAACCCACACTTCAGAGCAGCCTGTCAATACACACCAAACTCAGTGGTATCGCTCTTTTAACAAGTGCTTCAATTGTTGAGCCCTTGAACCAGCCTCGCAAGGAGGCAAGCAAGGCTGCCCAACTTTTGGTGACTGACCCACAGGCATCGTTGAACACTGTGCAGGGAAAACAACAGCTCAGCATGAATTGTTATCTGTACCTGCTTCACTGCAGGTCTGTCCAAGAGCGCCAAGACAAGCTTGTACACAGCAAGACATTCTGATCCCTTCTCCTGGACAACAGCGGTGACTGTTTCCATGAATGTGTCTGCTACAGGTGATCCCACAGATGCCTGTGATAGCAGCACCAGGGCGGCACGGCGGGCAAGCTCGAAAAGCTCTGAACCATTGGGCCAAACCAGGGTGGACACCATCCGAACAAGGGACTTCAAAGCGCCATGCTCCCACCACATGTCTCCCCACAGCCTGCTGACACACATGAGGGCAGATTCAATGAACAGACAGCAAGGAGCTGCAGCAGCAAGGTTCTCCACGCCTAGGGTGGCAACCAAGGCAACCACGAACAGATATATCCACTTCAGCTTTCAGGCTCTCACTGCTCAATCCAATGCAAACTCAGTCTATGAACCCACCGCTATTTGCAACACAGTCCACAGAATAAGAAGTAACAATGGAAGCACATAGCCATCGCACACTGTAAGGCACCAACAGCCATGCTCTGAGAGGCAACTGCCAAAGCCTTGATCGGTGACAATGGGACAAGCTGAAACCACTTAGGCCAAATATCCACCCAGAGGATGCTCCTTGAATGGACTTACCCCTTGTCGTCGTCCTGGACAGTTTCGGGGTCCAAAAGCTCCCCAACTGCTCTTGAGCAAAAAGGATCAGCATCCTCAGCATCTGCACTCTCATGGTCTGGACTCATCATTGAACCATGGAAGCTTGTTGGTGGATCAACGTTTGCATTGTCTCGGAACCGGAGGTAGCGCGAGTTGGTGGGGACGAGAGGCCATTGTTCTGCCCCCCCCCCAAAATGGGTGACAGCTGTATGCAAGTCAGGGACGTCCACGCAGCGTCCGGTACCAAACCATTTTCGACTTGCAGGGGATACAATCTCAATGGTTGTCTTGAGGAGGTTAATCCTCACCAGGCCATGGACAAGCCTGTGGCTGTCTGGTTTTCGTTTGAACAGGCGAAACCCCTGCAGAGGAAAAGGCGTGGGGGTTCAATGCTGCTCTGGGGAACCAGCAGTACCTCAGGCTCAAATATACAAGATACATGAAGACACAATCATCGACATTCCTGGACGGACTTCAAAAGATGCACGTCAAAAACACAGCAAAGGCCACAGGCACAACAAACTCGTGCTTTGGAGGAAGCCAAGGCGACTTGCCTCAATTTCAGATGCGATGGCGATTTCTTGCTCTTCAAGAAAGCTGTTCAGACCACGATGTCCTGGAAAAGCAAATTTCCTATAAGTTGTGGCCAGGGAAAACTGAGGGCACATGCAAGCAGGCAAATTTCCAAATTCCTTGTGCGATTGAAGGTACAGGTGCAACAGAATATGCATGGTGGAAATAGTTCTCCTTGGTTGTGTGCATAAGCTGCTCATGGTTATGGTGGCTATTTACGCATCTACAAGATAGAGTCCTAGCCAGCAACAAGGGAGCTTGCATCGTCAAGATAATGACAAAATACAGCACCTGGTGACATCCCATGCAGTGCCGTTTGGTCAGTATCCATGCAGTACATGCAATGTGATAACATGCACCACTCCATTGGACAAGTCCACCAGATGGGATCAGATGTTACAACAGTCAACTAATCAATGCTGCCAAGGGGACTTCAACCAGAAATGTTTGTCTTGACCCTCACACCCAAAGATGACATACAGCAAGAAAGTGCAAGGACTGCAAAACTAATTCCAAAAAGCCCAACCACCAAGGAACCATCGCAATTTGCTATGATTTCTGATCTGCAATGTGCCTCTCTAAGTGCAAAGGGTTTTTTTCTCTATCATGTTTGGGCAATCATTTCCACAAGACCAGTATTTAGGGCCAATACATCGCCTCACCCTTTCACTCTGCAGTGGCAACAGCCCACATCTTTCCTGTTACAACATGGGTGGCACCAGCACGCTTGCACTCTTACACGAAGGGTAATATTCTGGTACAAGAGATATTCTGGTCCAAGCACCACTTCACCGAGGGTTTCTTCTGGCATGCCCCCAATGATCCAGGTGACAACTGAATTCCAGAGAACTCAGATGACACTCTGGAAAGGAAGCTATGTGCAGCATATTCTTCCCCACACCAATCGTCCTCCCTACCTTCTGGGTCATACAGCCCCTTGTGCCACAGGACATCTTCCAACAGCTGCTGCACTTGTGGGACCAAACCATTCCTCACTTCGTACAAGAATCGGTACTCCTTCTGTGACACCCACACCTGGCACACAACGTCCTACGACCCACCAACACTAAAGTCAACAAAGCAGCACAACAACAGCCATGAGCTGCTCCCAAGCAGAGGTTTTGATTTGACTGGAATTGTAGGCTAACAACTGAACAGAAATAAAAGCGTGAGGGACAAAGCAGTCCCAGGTTCCAAAATGGCACCAGTGGAACAGGCTAAAAGGGCACTTTAAAGAAAACTGTAACTGTTGTTTAGCATCGCAAAATATGCGGCAAAGCCTCAAACGTTCGTGTCTGACAAGCGTTGTCAGTGAGAACCAATGGGTAGCACCTGCACTGTCCATGTATTCCAATACAATTGTCCAAGCTGGACATTCAGCTGACACACATTTGAGCAATCATTCCGCAAACGAGTGTAGCAAGCTTTCCGTCTGTGCGCTGGACAAACATTTGGGCTCTGATGACCATCGACTGCCTCAATCGATACCCAATCCATCATCTTTGCAAAACACGCAGGTGAACAAAGGATTGAACGACTTTCTGCAGGAGTTTTCCACAGACGGGCAGGCAACACTCCAAGGATACAGCCAAAGTGTCACTGGTGCCTGCCCAATCATGGTCAGGGATTTCAAGCACAGTCAACTTCAGGAACAGGCAAACATGCGACCAGTGCGAACAGCAGTGGCATACCTTATTCGCGTTGGTGAATGGCATTCCTTTCAAAACCTCCACACGTTGCAGTTTCACAGCAACTTTCTCTGTGCGGACTTTGGACTTGAAACTACAAGAGACAAGGCAGCATGCTCAGCAAAGCCAGCACATTTGGGTCAATGCATGATCAGGAATGGAACCCACGATGCGTGTAACAGCCAACCAACATTCTCCATGGCTAGCTAGGTCCCATTTCGCCAGCTTCACTGTGATGAGCAAAGAAAGCCACGAAACTGCATACCCGATCCGCTCATGCCAATACCTCGACAGCATACTTGGTGCGCAACAACTGCAGCCTGCCTCCGCACAAAGCTCCCAACTGAAAGACTCAACGGGAAACTCAGCTGTGAATTCGGTGGTTGGAAAACAATAGGATGCCAGAATGTGGGTAGGGAACATAGGATGAAAGGGTGCATCCACGCACCTATATGAACAGTAGATATCTCCTCGTCCAGACCCCAGGCTTCGATCACATATCCACAGGCAACAGGCAGTCTGGGCATTCTGCAGGGCACACAATATGCCGAATTTGAACAGCAGCAACAACCAACAAAAACAATATTTCGTCCCATACTCAGGGACCATTGCTTGGGTCGATCTCCTCATCATGCCAGTGCAAATGCACTGACTTGCCTAACGTCCCCCAAGAAATGCGACACAGCGCAAAGCCAGGTGGTGCTGAATGCAGGGAAAGCAACACAGCTGCGAAGCGCTGAGGCATAACGGTGGCTTGTTCTGACACCCCAAGCCATCATTTTTACCCATTTCCTCAAAGACCCTCGCCCAGCCATCACGGACCCCGGAAACCAACCAAGCGTCCATCGCAACTCTCAAGCCGCAAGGCGCATGAACTCCATCCTTCAAGGTCCCACGATGGTGTCAGTCCCTCGCGACTCCTCGCGACTCCTCGCGATCCGTCCACCCAGCGTCAAGCCCCTGCGCCCTCCCCCCAACCCCCGATCGCCATTGTCCCGTCACACGCCTCAAGGCAAAGCCCAGGTGCATTGCCCGCTTGCGACGCCCCGACCAAACAAATCAATTCAGAGACGCATGCGCCAGTGCTAACACAAGGCTAAAGCTGATGCGTCCGATTCCCCAGCGGTGGTTCCCACCAATGGGCCGCAAGCGCCAGAGGCGCTTAGCGCCCATCCACGCCCCGCCCGCCTCGCGCAACACAGCTCAAGGAGCCCCCGCGGGTCCGCGGACCAATAAACTCCATTCCCGGTGCCAATTCTTTGCGGCCTCGGCCAAGCCGTTAGATCAAAGCGGCCTGGGTGCGGCAGCCTCCCACCGAACTGAACAAAGCCCGGGCGATCCGGCAAAGGGCACGCATCGAGCCTGGCGAGGAGTGGGTGGCGCCGGCAGCAGGCGGGCAAGGAATGGAGGCAGCGAATTGGGGGGGCAGCGCCACGCCACCGCACCGAACTTCAATGTCGCCGCTCCACCGCGACATTGGCGCCGCCACAGCGCCGGGACAGGTCGTCCAGGCGCCGAACGTATTGCCGTCGGCCAGGTGGCACGGCCGCGACGATGCCGAGCGGCAGCCAGGTCCAAGGTAAGAATCGTCTCCCGGATAATGCCGATCAACAAAAACCCAAAAGCCGCTCTTTGAGCCTCAGGCCCCAGCTCCCGGGGCGCAGAACAACCCGCCGAGCCAGACCGGCGCCCACAGCGGGCCGCCCACTCTTCCCACACCGCACGCCACCCGCGGCACCATCCAACCGCGTGTCGGTCCCCGCCCGTCACCTGCAGCAGGCTGGCGTTGTTGAGCACATACACATAGACGTCGTCGGCCTCCCTGAAGGACGGCGCCCTGCCCTGCCCCAGGCACGTGCACGTGGGCTCGCGCACGCACACCAGCCCTCGCCGGACGCCCTCGAACGGGTTATTCATCTCGGGCGGGGGGTGGGGTGGGGTGGGGCGGAGGGATGTTGCGGGCCGCTGGGCGGGGCCCCGTGAAGGGCCTCCCCGCGGCGGGTGTCACGCCTCCACGGCACGGCCCTCCTGCGTGGGGAGGGGCGCGGCGGGGTGGGGCTGGGGAGCTCCGTACGGGGTTGGATGGCGCGGGCTTTGGGAGAGCGTGCAGGGAGGGGTGTACGTAACCCATCGGTCGTGGACCGCTGGCGTGGGTGGCTGCGGGAGTAGGCATTGGTCGGATTTGGAATCCAGCATGACACAATTAAATCGGCAACTCGACACAATTGACATACATTGCAGCGGAATTGCCGCGGGGTGTGGTGTGAGGGGCGAGAGGTTGCGGAAAAGGAGCGTTAAGCTTCGTGTGTCGCCGCTTAAGTTACGGTTCAGGCCGTTCGCTTAACGCCCTTTCGCTAACCCTTTACCTTCCCCTCCCCGCCCCCTTTTTTCTTTACTTAAGTTGTTTATGCGCATCACCTCATGCGCATGCACCTCGGTCTATTAACCCGACGGTATTTAAAATATTCGCCCGGCAAGTCCGACATGCGTGCATGCACTACTGCAGCAAAGCACTGCGGTAGCCCCTGGCCGCGTCGACAGCGGGCCCTGCCAAGGATTTTTCAAAGTCCTTCGCCATCACACCCCGCTGCGCCCCGCCACGCTGGCGCCGTGCACATGGGAGAGAAACACAACTTTGAGTCGTGGCGATTGGCGTCTCTCGCCCTGAGCGCCGAGCGAGGTTTGCCGGCGCCCTCAGCAAAGCGCGCATCGTGGCGGGAGCCAGGCGACTTGCGGTCGCGCGAACAAGTCGACCTTGAACGAGGTTTGCGTCAACCGATGACAAAGGGCGCTTCGACGGACCCCAAGTGCCAGGCGCGCCCGAGAGCCAAAGGAGCATGGGCCGACCGGGCTTGGAAACCACGGTGCAGAGCGGAGCGGGGAGTGGCTAGCACGGCGGCGGGCGGCAGGAAAGGGCGGCCAGGAGGGGCGAATGACCCGCCCCCTTCCCAAGTCGCTGGTGCCCATTCACGCACCTCGGGGGGCCATTCCAAGGAGGCACGCGCGGCAGGAATGGGCCTCCGCAAGGGGCCAATCAGGCCGTGCAGCTCGCGCCTCCTGGGCGCCCGTGGATTACTCGGCGCCTCTTCCGGCTTGTGGGCACCCATTCCCGCGACCGAGAGAGGTCGTTGGAGGCCAGCATGGGCAGCAGAAATGGGTGCCCGCTAGGCGTCAAATACCCACCGCTTCTCGCGGCTCGCGAGCGGTCAATCGCGCCACAAGTAGGGGCCGCTCCAGACCAGCTCGGGCAGCGGGAATGGGCGCATGCAAGGTGTGAATCAGGGGCCGCCTCTCCCGCCTCGTGGGCACCCATTTCCGCCAGCGGCGGATGCCGTTCTAGGCCGCCGCAGGAGCCGGGAATGGGCGCCCGCGAGGCGGCAATCCCTGGGCGCGTTTCGTGGCTCCTGGAATCCCAACCGCGCCACAGACAGCCCCGTTTCAACGCAAGGCCGGCAGCGCGATTGGGCGCCAGCGACGCGCCGATCGTGCGGCGCATCTGGCGCCTCGCGGGTGCCCACCCGCGCCATCAGCGGGCCCCATTCCAGGCGACCGCGGGCGGCACGAATGGGCACCCGTTAGGCGCCCATCCTCTTGAGCCTCGCGGGCGCCCAATCGCGCGGCCGGCGGGGCCCATTCCAGGCGACCGCGGGAGCCGGGAATGGGCGCCCATGAGTCGCCAATCCCGCAGCTTGCCTGGCGCCTCGCGGGCGCCCGTTCGCATCGCATGCTCCAGCCATTCCAGGCCTCCGCGGGGAGCGGGAATGGGCGGCTGCGAGGCGCCAATATGGCCGCGCCTCCCGTGGCTTGCGGGCCGCTTTCTTCTAGTGAAGCGCCAGCCAGCTTTTGGCCATGCATTCCTGTGGTGTTTGCCTGCCATCGCGCCCGCCATTCAACTGCCAATCGAGCTGGCCATGAGGACCAAGAGCAACCGCCCAAGAAGCGCCACACCCGCATCACCAAAGTGGGCGCACCCCTCCCAAGGCGCTTGGGTGGGCAGGGGGGTGCTGGTCGGCCGAGCGGGCGGAGGCGGGGCGGGGAGGGCTGCGTGCACCACCTGGTCCGACATGGGGGGCGTCATGCGAGGCGGGAAGTGGGGGGAAGCCGTCTGGGAATCGGCTGATGGGTGGACGACCAGGGCGCCCGCGGCGCCATGGCCGGCCTCCGCGTAGGAAGGCGAGCCATGTTGCGGTGCGGCTGGTTGGGCAATTCTGCTGTAGGGGTTGGCCAGGGCTGGGCAGGGGAGCGATTGGAGGAGCCCTTTTTGACCGCCACCAACGCCTGACAAGCCCCCGCAATCGATATGGCGGCCTCCCCTTGGTTGCGTTTGGGCGCTTGGGGGCAATCGCCTGAGCTTGGGCGCTTGGTGGAATCGCCACAGGTGTTCCGCTTCGGCCACCTTGGAAACAGCAGCGCGGCCAGGCCCTGGTCCCACTGGACCAGGGCAAGGGCACAGGGGGTTGGGGCCCATGCGCACCGTACTGCAAAGGCGCCACCAATGCGCCCTTCGACCCAACACACAATCACACCCACCCAACAAACAAACAATACCAAGCCCCTTTCACAAACAAACCACCAGGCCCTTTGGAGCCACGCCGGAGATGCGCACAGTGGCGTGCTGCAGCAAGGCGGGCCCACCACGTTGCTCACCAGCAGAGAACCCCCACAACACCACCAGCACAAGTCACAAGCCGCGGGGGAGTGGGAGGCCGATCGCCGCATCCCAATCCAGCCACATTCGCTGCTCGCAGCCTCCGATTGAAGCCATCCACGGCGGACGATCTTGGCGCCTGTGGGTGGCAACAAGTGACGGCCACACGAACGCCGCGGCCCTGACTAGCACCCTCCGGCTGGCTGCTGCCAGGCGGAGGTGGCGATCGCTCGGCGCCCTTCCCCGCCGCCTATTTTCAATACTCCTGCTCGCGGGTTGCCAACGTTCGCTTGCGCTCACCACCGCCCCGCCATTCAGCTACCCATCGAGCTGGCCGCAAACACCATGAATGGCCGCCCGGGAAGCGCCACACCCGCGTTTTTGTTGAGGGTACCAATCGGCGGGGGTGTGGCTGCCCCTCTTCTCAGGAGCACAAAGGAGGGTGC